GTATATATACACACATATAGACTTACACCCATAGTAAGTGTATTTCTGTGTGTTTACTGGATAAATTGGGATAATGATTAATATATTTCTGTTTTTTGCTAATGGTTTGCTGAGTCGTTGTGTGTTGTGCCCTGTATCGTATGACGATTGGCGTTTTTTTTTTTTTTGGATTCTTACTGAGTTTACTTTGCGTTGTTTTCTGTAACTGTTGTAGTTTTTATTTTTTACGTTGTTGTATTTCCTTTTGTCACTGTGTTTGGATTGCGTTTTTTTATCTCTCATATTGTTTTTCTTTTATCTAGTCCATTGTTTTTAAGCGAAACCCACTATCACTATTATGACTATGAGGGAATTGATGCGCCACGTGCTGTGTTTACTGGTTCTCATGCTTTGCTGCACCTATGGGTGTGTGTCGGTTTCAGCTGCCCCTCAACCTTCCAATGAGGATCAAGCTGCTGGGCATGGGATTGGTAGCAGTGGTATTAATCCCGCATCTGGTTCCACTGCTTCTGACCGCCCAGGCTTTGTTGGTGCTAAGATTACTGCGGAGAAACAGGGGTCTCACAACAATCGTGTTCCTCTTCCTCTTTGTCCTGAAGGCACTGAGGTTGCTACCACAGGTGGTACGACTGTTTCAGGTGTTGTAATACCCACTTGTATTCCACGTGGACCTGTCAAAGTTATTCAACACTATGATGGTGAGCCTGTCAACACCAGTGAGACGGAAAATAAGGATACGCCCGGTGTTATAATCGTCGACAATACCACCCGCTATCCTGGTACACCTCATTCAAGAGATACAGCTACTGGTGTTGTTGGGGATCACGTGACTCACCCTAATACGATAGATTCTTGTAATGGAGATCACGATTCTTGTGTGGTTGGTGGTCCTGGTACTCCTGCTGGTAAAACTTCCGGTTTTACTGATCTTGAGCAACATCAAAAGGTTCAGGGTGGCGGTGGTGTAAAACAACAAACTCAAAGTTTTCCTGCTGAACAGTTTAATCCTCATCCTGATCTTAATAAACAAGAGGAGATTAGCACTGTTACAAAGATTCCATGTACTGGAAACGATCCTTCTTGTAATGTTCCCGGTATTCCTGGTGGCGTTGCTACTCCTCCTCCTACGTCATCTGGTTCTCAACCCGGTGTTGGTGTTCCCGCCCCTCACGTTGTTCCTGGATTTCCCGGTGTTCATCCAAATGTTACTCACACCGATACTGCTGTTAATCAATTTCCTGCTGTGCCTCCACACGTTAATGTTACTGTTGGAACTCCTACTGTTGCTCTTAATCGTCGCTCTGGTCCTAATCCTCCTCCTCCTACTCCTGTTGTGTCCGAGAGTAGTGAAGAAGTCTCAGGTCCTACGAACACGCATCATGAAGAGAATGATAATCAGGCAGAGACTACTGCAGCACCTTCACAGAGTGCACCAACAAGGAACACACCCAATACACCCACTAAGGTGACGCCACCCGCAATGCCAACAATACTGCAACCTCCTATGCCTGCGAAGAGCGAGACCAAACCACCCAAGAAGCGTAAAGCAGACAGCAGCAGTATCAGTTCTGTGTGGGTGCGTGTACCACTACTGATTGTGGCTGTGTTGTTCTCCATTACTGTGTACTGAACGGTGGGACTCATCTGAGGACAAATAATAATAATGGTTATCCTAACATAATTGCGTATATCCATTTATCCCCCATGGGTGAATAAACTAATAATCTGTTTACCAGCTTTCTCTTTTTAATTCGAATATCTTTTCTTTTTCTTTTATTTCTGTGTGTTCTTTTTCTTATTAATTCCATTACTTGCTTTTCCCGTTGTGTGTGTTCAGAAAACTGGGCTGTTCTGTTCACTGACGGTATACATCTCTTGCTAGTACACACAGATATGCGTGTGTGCAGTAATTTAATATATAAACTAGGGTAATGGGGTATTGTGTGTGTTTGGCTCTCCTCTTATTTGGGTATTGTGGGTGTTCCTTTTTCTTTTCTGTAAAGCGGTATATATTATAAATACAAGTATGATATTTCTTTTCTTGTTGCTTACTGTGCAGTTGCTGCTTCTCTCTCTCTATCCCACTGTGAGTATTGGTGTCTTGCATCCACTCACTATGTGTGTACCTTTCTCTTATCCTTTTTCTTTCTTGTATCAGTCTTTTGAAGTGATCAACAACAATGACAAAGGCTGTAATGGTGAGGTGCTACCTGCTCTGTTTACTAACTCTTGCACTCTGCTGTGCTTGTGGGTTAGTATTGGCTGATAGCCCTAAAGCTTCTGATGCCCTTATTAAACCTTCTACTGTTGGTGTTCCGTCTCTTGTTCGTCGTGTCATTCCTGCCCAGGAGGATGGAGGTTGGTTGCTGCATACGGATGATGATCATCAGGAGGGTGAGGAAGGTTATGAAACATCCAATTGTGATGTTAATTCGGATTCTCATGGTTGTCGTACAACCGTTGTTCCTCATGGATCTGGTGGTGGGAAGGAACCTAAAGAACAGAAGACAGATGAAAATGAAGAAGAATTGAAAAGACGTCAAGAACTGGATCAGGCTGACTCAGAACTTGAGATATCACAAGCAAGTCATCTTGTCAATAAACACAACGGTGCAAAAGAAAACAAACCATTAAGTGTTTCTGAACCACAGGTAGCAGAAGTTTCTCTTGTTTCTTCACAGTCTCCTCCTGATCAACGAGCTAAACAGCTTTCTTCTCGTTCTTCTGATGCTCCTGAAGAGCCGACTAAACTTGTTTCTAAACTTTCTAGGGAAACAAATACAGATAACACTCTTAATAGTGGTAGAGTGGAACCTGGTAGTGTTGGTGTGCCTGGTCAAGTAGGTGAAAGTTCTGGTGGTTCTTCTGGTGGGAGTTCAGGTTCTAGTTCATCCAGTGCAGCTTCTCATCCTTCTCCTCCTACACATAATAATCCAACACCTGGTGATCCTGAACCTGCTATTCCTACTCCTGCTTCTACTCCTGTTGATGGGAGTAGTGTCGCTGCAGCTGACGGTCAAACTGGAAACAGCGGAAACAACACAACAGGAGAAACTACATCTAACCAGAGAAATGAAGCACCACAACCTT